ACTTACGGCGAATATCAGGTTGAAAAGAAACGTCAGGTATTTGATGCAAGCCATCCCACCGGACACCATTTTTACACTCACTTATTCACTGATTTCGAGGAAAACGATCGAGAGTAGAAAAATGACAAATATTAATGTAAGCAAACAGTATGAAAGCTGTGTGGGTCTTTTAAAGTAAAATAGCGTTGAAAATTGTGCACTCACACTATACACTTCAACAGCTCACCAAAGAATAATTATATTTTCATTCGTCCACCCTGGCTGACTTGGATGCGCGCGCACCTTCCCGGTAATTTACTCAGAACCGACCATATCTCCCGCAGAGCCATGGGCATTTGAAAAATTTTATCTTTCTATTATTCTTAAAATAATTACATTAATCTGATTACTAGATAATTTATTGGTTCATTAAAACTAATATTATAAAGTATTATAAATATGCATTTCGTTACACTACTACGATTTAAAATATATATATGCAAGTATTGAGATATATATGCAAGTTTTGTAGATAAACATGATAAATATTTGCAAAATCATATTTTATTTAATCTATGATTTAATTATATATTTGATTAGATTATATGATCCAATCTGTACAGACACAAAATATATATGTATGTGTCTGTGTATGTGTGTATTATATACATAAATATCATATGTTAAGAAGAATAAGAATTAAAATAAACTCAGAGAAAAAAAGTCGAAATTAAATACATTATAATTTTACGTGCCAAGTACTTTATTATACTTTATTATACTTTAGAAATAAATTATATTTTACATTAATACCATTTATATATCTCATCTTATATTATAAAATTTTATTTATTAAAATTATAGATAATTTTTCATCCGTTAATTTCCACAAAAATAAAAATAATTCCCAATTAATAAGAAATTATAAATTATTTTTTATCAAATTATAACTTAATAATATTTAACGAGAATAACTTTTAAGCATGATAATATGTACATATATATGCATGTATTAAATAATGAAATGCATAGAAGGAAACATGCTCAGCAGAATATATATGAATGTTACCTAAGTAAAATTGAAATGAAATACGATATATGAAGTGAATCGTATTGTTACATCTGTAATTAATTATTATAAAATTTGAAAAAGTTGCTAATCTTTTTATTATTCATTTTGCTACATGTATATAGATACGGTATAAGATTATAAATTTTTAAGTGCAATTTGAATCTTTACAAATAAATTATAATATGCAATTATAATAATAGATAATAATAGATTGGTTTAATTATAATAATAGGTAAATTTTGATAAAACTTGTATATTATTCTCTATATACAATGTTTGTTAATTAATTAAAATATAACAAAATGTTGCTGAATGCACGCAGTACTTCATTCGTCTCTACAGCTATAGTAGTGCACAATGGCGAGTAACGGTACAATTTTATTATTGATTATTCCATTCTATTATTCATAAATTCGATTGACAGTAATATATTAGATTTTATAAATTTTTATTTTTACGTTTATTTGTAATTGTTTCAATATAAATTTGATAAAAAAATAATAAAACTGTAATATATTTTCTATTTAATTGAATAATCATTATGAATAAAAATAAATTAAAAAATAACTACACGTATGAAACGACATTCTTTAAGTATACATTGTATAATTATTAATGAATTGTTGCATTTATGTTGAAATATGTTGAATTTATTGTACTTCTCAAATTTTATTATTTTACAAGTACATATACATGTGTACATATACATTTGTACACATTTATATACATTTATACACATATTTATAATACATATATTTTATATATATCTTTCTGTACAATATTCATTTTTTAATAAAAACAGTCTTTCAAAGATAAGAATACGTAAGAAATAATATAAAATTATTACATTTCAATTATAAAAATGTTAAATTCTAAATTAAGTACACGAAAATCTATTTAGAACTATTAGTTATGTGATAGATCACTCGTAATTAGGTCTATTTTTATAACCCGTTAGTATCGATTCTTTCATTATAATAGAAATGATGCATTGTTTCCAACCTGTTCCAGTTCGATATGATGTCTATTTTACGAAATTATATCGATTTTTGAAACTGTAGTATTCATCATATTAGGATTTGAATTTTTATTATTTATTATTATTCTATTATATATATACGATTGATTGATATCGACGTGAAACATTTTAAATCAACTTCTAAATTTTAATTTTTATAAAAATTAATAATAAAGATAAATAGTAAATTTGAAAAAAATGATAGTTAATTCATTTTATTAGTGTTCAAATAAATTTCATGATTATACATATTTCAAGAATCAATTAAAAATCATTTATTATTTATATATATATATTCTATATTTTGATATGTATTTCTTGTAGTATATATCAAATAAGAACAGTAATATCATATTATGTTGCATAAATGAGTATTCAAATTATTTGTTTAATTTAATTTCAATTTTTTCGTGTATTACTTATATTTTGTTATATTCTTAGAACGCTGTTCATTTGATATACAAAAATCTAATTACCTTTAATAATTTAATTCTGTATATTTCATATTATGATAAAAATTATATTATTGTGTACAATAATTATATTACGTACTGCAATATCTTTTATTTGTTTCAATAACTGTATAATAATTATTATTATTACGATGATAATGAGATATTAATCCAACATGAATTAATAACTTTACATGAATTCAACTTTTGAATTGGATAAATCTGAATGATTTACGATTCACAATTAAATTAGATATAATGCGAATAATTTGTATTGATTTTAACATTTCTAACAGTTAAAATTTAAATAATATTTGAAAAACAAATTTTATTTCTTTTTGTTGTAATATTATAATGTCGGGTCTTTAATTAGCAGTTTAATTTAAATCTTACGTTAATATAATATTGAAGACTTGCTATCTCAAATTTTAGTAACATTTCAGTTTAAATACACACATATGTAAATTTTAGCATACAAAATCACTATATGCATATGTAACATATGTATAATATATGTATACACATATGTTTAGATATGCATATATATGTATACGTACCTATAATTTAATAGGTTCTTTTATAGAAATTAATCCACTGATAATAAAGAAAAAAATGTATAAAATATATGAAAAAGATTTGCGGTTGGTAACCTTTGAAGTTTCGTAACCTCGGTTAAGAATATTACGACTGCACATGCGCTTAAATACAGCCACGCGATAACGGTGTAAAGTAGTGAATCGTTGCAATGTTGTTAGCCGGTTTGTGCGCCTTTTTTTAACGTTGGTGAAGTGAGGAAAATACAGCATAGTGATATAGTTTTGTATTTTGCCAATTGGCGAAAAAGATTTTGTTCAGTTCTAAGCAAATCATGGTTAGCACTATGAAATTATCTCTTGGTTCGCGATGTGTCAAATATCTAATGTTCATCTTCAATCTGCTCTTTGTTATGAGTAATTTTTTTGTTTTTTTGTTTCCATTATAACAATTTTTAGTTTTTAGGTACTCGAATAAATCATTATTCGAAAGTGTTCAAGATTTATTCGTTATGATAAAAGTTTTGTTTTAAACGCCTTACGATCATTCGGAATTACATTAAAAGTTCATGTAGCATATCTCAAAAAGTTATAATTAGATGATTACGTATGATTTTAGTCTCCTTTTTATTTTCTAATCAGAATTTCGTTAATAATCTAACATTGTATTCTTCTCTTATGATTTAATTTAATTAATATCACGAAAGATTTTCGTTAATTTCATACTAACTCGAATCTAAATATTAATAAAAATATCGATATACGTAGATCCCTGTGGATGATAGAATAATTTAACATCATAAAATACGTGCAATGTACATACAATAAATTTCTTTCAATAAATTAATTTTCAAGTGTTTAAATATTTTAAAGATGATAAATTAATATCAATAGAAAACTATTTGGCAGATGTATCATTGCGAGATTATCTATTTTGTCGTATATGATTACGCATTTGCGTTTTCCTGTTCTTAAGTTACATATGTACAAGTTTTTCAATGTAAATATGGCACTATGATAATATAACTAAGTAATGAAGTATTTTATAATTTTTTTTTTTGTGATGAATCATGAATTCCAGATAAACAATCGAGAAACAAGCGAACGTTTATATATATATATATATATATATATACGTAGATAAAATCTAGACAAATAAAAAACTGTATGACTTGTATCCCAGTACGATTCGTCTCACTTTATGACTTGTACCCCAGAAGCAACTGTTCTGACTAGGAAATGAAGACGACTTTTTTGTCATAAAATTTTATTGATATGCAAACATTTGAATTGATATAAAACAAATTACAGGCGCGATCGCCCAGTACTAGACAACGCTATTCCTCGAGGTCTACCTCACGCTCCTTCCCCCATGAATCACGTGACCCAAATCAACCAATAATTTTCGTTACATTAGCATTGCACCTGAAGAGGCCTGATTTTCTGGGTTATCCCCGCTAAAATCACTTTCAGTGATAAGTATATAGTTATATATAAGTAATAGTTTATATATATATTACACATGCACATATTTTTTATTTTTATTTTCTAATAATTTTGTTACATTATGATATAATTAAAAAATATCTAATATAATGTGAATATTATATAACAATATATAAATGCAGAATATATACGGACACAAAATTCTTGTTATTGTATAAAAAAGATTTGTAATATTTGTTTACAAAAACAAAAACAAAAACAAAAACAAAAACAAAAACAAAAACAAAAACAAAAACAAAAACAAAAACAAAAACAAATTATATACAAAATTAACTTACTAAAATTTTAATGTTAACTAATAACAAAGCAAATATAAAATTTATTTTATTTACAAAATTTTTGTAGATACTGGAATGAAGCAACATGTGGTGATGATATGTAAACTCTTTGAATATGCATTTAAAGACTCAAAATTTTTTTTATACAAATAAAAAAAAAGTCGCTGCGGACAGGATTCGAACCTGCGCGGGTAGCACCCAATGGATTTCAAGTCCATCTCCTTAACCGCTCGGACACCGCAGCCATTAAAATTTTGGTTTATTTTATAAGAATGTGAAGTACATATGTAATTGAAATAATGCAAATATTTTTTCAACCATATAATAAGAATAATGCTCATCTATATTAATCAAAATGAAATTTGTAATTGAAATATTTGACATTGCTATTTATACTTACTAAATGAATCGTTTTCGATTTAAATGAAGTAACTCAAGAATGCATAATAAAAATAATTTTTAATTCAATGTATTGTGTATCATTCAGCGTATTGATATAGACATAATAATAGAATGTATATGCTTATATAATATAACGTATAACATTATTTATAGTATATGTAGTATAGTATTATTTATAATAACAGAGCTGGATGGCAAATTTTTTTTTAAATCGTTTACATTATGTTTTTTTGCTTTATTTATTTTAAAGTTCGATTTTCTCATTTCTAATAAAATAGTATTTAAATTTGTTTCAATTTAAATGATATTTTATTTATAAATCATCAAGAAAAGTTTCTTTCAACTATGTATTTAAGAGAATTTTACAAGCAATTGTTCGCATTCTTTCAAATCATGGCTTTGTATTAACCTCATTTCTGGTGTCGACAACTAATTGAATATAAAGATCTTTTAATCTCATTTTCTATTGATTAAATTTGCAATGTAAACAAAGCTAAAGTTACTTATGATATGTTAGAATAAAAAAAAAAGTCGCAAGAACAAAGTTTTATTTAAAACAAGAACAAAAATCCAAAATAGACAGAGAATTTTATATAAGTAATAAACTTGAAATAGATGAGGTTATGGTTGTAATAGATGCGTATTTCAATGCATGAAATATTCAAAAATCGAAATGCACGTTAGGATTTATTTCACAACAAAGTAATGAGACATATATCCATCTCTGTAAAGCAATATGATATGTAAAAATTTTATACATACCAACTTTTTCATCAACAACATTAAAAAAGATCAGTTATTATTTATACACTTTTTTTTAGATAGAAGTCGTTTACATGAAAAAACATGATAGGATAGACATGGAAAAATATTATTTTATGATTAATAATGCGTTCATTTTTCTTTCTTTTCAATGAACCAATAATGTGGTTAATATTTTCTATTCTTGTTCTATTACTTCTTTGAGGTCATTTATTGAATTATATTGTCTTACTTAGATTAGGCGACCTCTTTGACCATTGTAATATATTTATACCATTTGTTGAGAAATAACAAACAACTTCGTTGTATAGATTATTTTGTTAATGAAAAATGTAGTTTTCATCAGCAATTCAGTAGTATGTTTTGTGATTTCTGCATTACTACTATTTATTTCTCTATTAATGAATAAACGAGAAATGCTCATTTTCTGTGATTTTTTGTTTTACAGCACATTTTTTTCTTGTGGTCTTTTATATCTGATTACATACAAAGATACAAAAATAATGCTAAATCTGAAAGTGAAAGTACAAAATTCAATTAAAAACCATTTTAAACATTTATACAGGATTCAGATCTGATCCAAAATCTCGAAATACACAAACCTTCAGTAGCAGATCTAATGGGAAGTTAATATTCTTTGTGATGAACCAAAGCAAATAACAATTAATTTTATGAAATCTTTATTGCAAAAATTTTATATACTGCTCATAGTTGTGATATAAAGAATATAATAGAAAACTACGTAACCATTAATTGTAAGAATATAAAGCATTGACTCAAGCATGTGCAAATTGTTTTATTATTTCATCATACGATAATGATCTATTGGGTTGGCAACTAAGTCATTGCCGCTTTTGTCGATAGATTCACTCTACACTTTCTTTTGTTTTGTTAACGTGGTCAGAGCATCTAACCTATATTTTTTTCTTACTGTGTGGACTTCTACTTTTAATTAGTAAAAAAATTATATCGATTAGTTCTTTAGTTTTGTTTTTATCCCAATTTAAAAATGGAAAAACAGGACGTGCACTTCCGACACATTTTATTGTATTACTTCCGAAAAGGCAAGAAAACGCATCGCAAGCACAAAAGAAGTTATGTGCCGTATATGGAGATGATGAAGCCTTAAAAGAAAGGCAGTGTCGAAATTGGTTTGAAAGATTTCGTTCTGGTGATTTTTCACTGAAAAATGCACAACGATCTGGCCGCCCAGTCGAAGTGGATGAAACCCATATCAAGGCCATTATCGATTCAGATCGTCACAGCACAACACGAGACATTGCAGAGAAGCTCAATGTATCGCATACATGCATTGAAAAAAAATTAAAAACCCTTGGTTATGTCAAGAAACTTGATTTATGGATCCCTCACCAGATAAAGGAAATTCATTTGACGCAACGGATTAGCATCTGTGATTCGCTTCTGAAACGCAATGAAAATGATCCATTTCTGAAAAACCTAGTTACTGGCGACGAAAAGTGGATAGTTTATAAAAATGTTACTCGCAAGAGATCGTGGGTGAAGCAAGATCAACCAGCCCAAACAACATCAAAAGCAGAGATTCACCAAAAAAAGATTATGCTGTCAGTCTGGTGGGATTACAAAGGAATTTTGTATTTTGAACTCATGCCACAGAACCAAACAATCAATTCAAATGTGTATGTTGAACAACTCGACAAACTGAACGATGCAATTAAAGAAAGGCGGCCGGTATTGTCAAATCGGAAGGGTGTTGTTTTCCATCATGATAACGCAAGGCCCCACACATCTTTGGTCTCGGCAAAAATTATTGGAACTGGGTTGGGATGTTTTGTCATACCCACCATATAGCCTTGATCTTGCGCTTTCGGATTACCATTTGTTTCGTTCCATGCAAAACTCTTTAAATGGTAAAATTTTTAATAACGCGGATGATGTCAGATCACATCTAATTCAGTTTTTTAATAGCAAAGACCAGACATTTTACGAACGGGGAATTTTTACACTGCCAGAACGATGGAAAAAGGTCATCGACAAGAACGGGCAATATCTAATTGAATAAAGTTATATTTTTTAACAAAAATTCTGAATTTTCCTTCTTATTTGAAATCGGCAATGACTTAGTTGCAAACCCAATAGTTATATAATTTTCAGTTCACAGAATATGTTCGCGCGCGTGTGTAGCGTTGCAAGATCTCTGTTATTAGTGGACTGTATATATGTTCGCGTGCATGTGATATCAGGGGGCTTTCCTCTCGGTGGTAATTCTAATGTCGTGATTTTTTGATCCTGTTGCGTCTACTCCCGAGATTGCCGTCCGCGTCGTGTCCCATTTCAGCCCGAGACGCCTCGCGAATCCCTCCTTTATAATGTTCACCTGGGAGCCCTGATCGAAGAGGGCCCTGCCTTCGTGGATTTTACCCTGTTTATCGGTGATTTTGACTATCGCTGTAGACAGCAGCACGTACTTAGGTCACGCTCGTGTCCGTGGACGACAGGCTCTGTGAGTTGGAGTCGTCGATCGGGTTTGCTTCCATGTCCTCTGCTGCTCTGTTTGTCCCCGATCCCGTGGTCGCTCCCGGATGCAGCAGGGTGTGGAGATCGTGGTCTGTCCGCGATCGTCTCCTCGTGGCTGACCTTGTCCGCTAGTAACGGCTGCTACTGAACCCGATGACTGCTTCTGTAGCACTGATCGCTAATCTGCACCTCGTAGCATCTGATTCGGTTCGCATATCCGGCTCGAAGGACCAATGTTCGCGCGTGTGTGTAGCGTTGCGAGATCTTTGTTATTAGTGGTAATTCTAATGTCGCGAGAGATGACTTGTGTTGCTTGGAAGTTCGATCCAATTCTAAACTTATAGGACGAAGGAAAGCACGGAAGCTCTCTCGGTTCCCTTTCCTTCGACTTCGGGAAGTTGCGGGCCCAAGGTGGGGCACAAAAGGGCGGATGCCCGTTGCCGTTTTGTGTGACCTTGAGGGAGCGTGTCTCGCACATATTCGGGAAAGTTGATTCCATGCTTCAGTCTACGGTCGAGGGCCTTGTCTGCTGTAGAACAAAGCTCAGCCAGACGGCCAGGGTTTTATGGTGACACAGGCCTGCTGGAAGTTCAGTGCACTTAAAAACTCATAAACTTACCCCGACGTGCCTGCACCCAGACCGTGGGTATTGTAGGATGGAAAGTCTCCCGAACAGAATAATTAAAAAGTTCAATCGTTTCTCGGTTATAGCTCTTCAGGTTTAAAACGTCGTTTTAACCAGATGTCATTTTAAAATTTTTATTCCGGTGTTTACGTGCTAACAAATATATCTTATTGTAATTTCAACAGCTGTTTAATCATTTTGTAGCATTAATAACATCAAGGTAAATCTGTCTCTATTTAGAATCCCAAACATTAGAATACGAACATTATAAAGCTTCAAGATTGCAATTTGATTCCAAACAAAACTCCCATCTTAACCCGAGTCTAAAATGTTCTGGTATCCGTGCACATTTAAATAGATAACAATTATAAATTATAATTATTGTTTCTAAATTATTATTTTTCAGATCATAGGTATAATATTATTATCCATTGGCGTTGCGATACATGGAGTTTATTACAATTATCAACACTTCTTGGATAATAAATTATTATCAGTTCCTTCTCTGTTGATTGCAATCGGCACAATTATCTTTTTCATCGCCTTTTTCGGGTGTTGCGGCGCTGTACGCGAAAATTATTGTATGATAGTTACGGTAATTTATGTTGTATTTAACAAACTTTAATGCTTTTACATATAGTTTTTAAAATTTCCATTACAGTCCAGAGATTGGAATGAACAGTTTCTTAATAAATAAATATATATACTTTTAACTTGTCTTAAATGTATTACGAATGTTTTATTCTTTAATATCCTTTGTTACAGAATGTAGCGAAAATTTTACAATCGTAGAAAGAGATCGGGCATTTAATAATAGTATTGTCCTTATTTATAAGACATTCATTTAATTTCTTGATTTTAGTTTACGTCGTTGTTGGTCATCGTTTTTATTTTGGAACTCTCAGGTGGTATATCTGGATACGTTCTGAGAGCGAGAGCTTCATCAATTATTCAGGATA